CCTTGCCTTCCTCCGCCTTCTTCGTCTGTGCTTTGCTCTGCATGACAGTGCATTTGCGCAGGAGCGTATGCAGTGAGTATGAGCGTCACAGTCATGTTTGCTAGGTTTACTGAAGACGTTTAAAGGTGTCGTGCATCATATCTGCACTGCAACCAGCCAAATGAAAGTATTTTACATCTATAACTATGCGAGAGAAAAAGTACTTCTCAGCCTTGGCTGCTTGCAAAGCAGGAATTAGGAGTAAAAATATTGTCACTTGTGTTCTGTGTCATTGGCCACAGCATGTGTCCCTCCCACTCACCACCCTCTTCCATCCTTCTGACTGCGTTGGTGTTTTCCCATGCGAGCGCACCTGTTTCTCAAGAGAAGCCCATCCGCAGACATCCTTATTAAACCACAGAGCCTGAGGCTGGCGGAATTTTAAGTAACTGGTTCCACATATAGAACAAGTAGAGGAGCCTAGATTAGAGCCCATGAATCTCATGTGCCTGGAGCTGATGTTCTTCTTCATTTCACTTAGGCCTCTTTCCGATTTTGGCCTTAAGCTGGCTGAGCACCATGACTATTTAGCGTTGATTTTACCTCCTTGGTGGTAGCTTGTGAGTGGATATGGAGCTAATTGTGCAGAATCTGGGCAGGAACGAACCTGAGAGCATCACAGAAATGGTATATATATGCATATATATGTGTCTCTGTGTGTGTATCCAAATATCCACCCGCATACAGTATTGTATGGCTGCTACATTTCAGAAACATGTACAGGTGAGTATAAAAATCAATCATCCTTTGATTGTGTCTAAACTGTGTCTAAAGGAAAATGAAGTTGAGATGAAATAATTATCAGGATGATGAATGGAAAAGCTTTCTTTCAGTAAGGTGACTGGCTTTTTCCATGAACACAAAACAGCTATAACTGCTGAGGGCACATTATCATAACATTTTCAGATTTTCAACGTTGACCCCCATGATCCTGCGAGGTGAGCAGGTAGGCTGATTATGGACATCTCTGCTTCACAAGAAACCTCGATATCTGGGGGATGTATACTTGATTGGGCTGGGTTACATTGGGTAAATCACTCATATAGTCTCAAGACTCTGGCTGATAGTGAACATGTTACTTGCCTTCACATCTATCTGGTTGTTGTCAGTTTGTGTATGTGAGTGATTGGAATTTCACTTTCCAATTTTTCATCATTTTCTGTGTCCTTCCTCGATATGTTGCATTCAAATATGAAGAGAAGTATAAGAGGCTTTAATATTTTTTAGTGGGCAGAAATGCTAGAGAAGCCACTGTGCTCTGAAATTCTTGAGGGAAAAGGGATCTTTGTTCTTTTCTTGTTGCTCCAGTGGAAAGGACTTGCACATAGAGACAGGAGTTCTGTGTCAGATTCCAGACTAAACATCTGTTGCAGGCTTGAACTTCACCCCTCAAAGCATGAATTTCACTCCAGGAAAACAGGGATAGTAAGATCTAAACTGTTCTTTAGGTAACAGGTTCAGGGTCACTGCTTCCTTGTATCATTTCACTTAGTCACTGTGACACTACTGCGAGGTAGGTAATATTGTCTTCACGAACTTCTCTTCTAATTTTTAAATGATGAATCAAAAAAGAAATCTTTAACTAACTGTTCACCATTTAGTGCACACATACGCTGTGTGAAGCCTGTGGCCGGGCGCCATTCTGTAGCTCTTTCTCTTAGAAAGAATAATTTAATTCATTCAAAGATCTAACTTGCAGAGTTTTATGAAAACTTTTGTAGGGTAGCCATGATTTTCCACTGCCCTTTCAGCTGTGTGTTTTTTTCTTCTCCTTGCAGCTATGACCACTCCACGTGGGAGATGGCTTACAGGTCATCCTTGCCACTAACTTACGATGATGTGGGGGCACCTCACATCCTCAGAGAGAAGCTGCTTCAGACTGATATGCAATAATCTCTTCAGGTCACTAGTATATTGTGAAAGCTGGCAGTCAAGATAAGACGTATTAATCTCTCCACACGTGGATGCTTCTATTACCTATAAAGAAATTCTCATTATTTTAAACTAGCCAGTAATTTCCACTTGAATGCTGAATGATCACCAATCATAACTCTTGATGAAGTTCTGATTTTCTATTCTCGATGACAAAGGCACACTAAAATAATTTTGCACCTGAGTGCAACCTAACTAGCAATGACTATGAAATTATATCCTGGTCGGAAGCAAATCTTTCTTGATCATAATTGCAAACCTTCCTGATTGTTATTTTACGTTCACTTTTTCCTTGGGAATCATGGAAAACCACAGCATTGTAACTGAATTTGTCCTCCTGGGACTTTCCCAGAATCTAAGTGTTCAGAAAATAGAATTTGTTGCATTTTTGTTTGTTTACATAATAACTGTCGGGGGCAACTTGCTAATTGTGGGGACCGTTGTCTGCAGTCCTGCTCTGCGGGGCTGCCCCATGTACTTCTTCTTGGCCTTCCTGTCCTTCCTGGACGCCTGCTTCTCCTCTGCTATGACCCCAAAGATGATTGTGGACCTGCTGTATGAGAGGAAAACCATTTCTTTTCAAGGCTGCATGGTGCAACTGTTTGCTGAACACTTCTTCGGTGGAGCAGAGGTGATTGTGCTCACAGCCATGGCCTACGACCGCTACGTGGCCATCTGCAAGCCCCTGCACTACTCTTCCATCATGAACAGGAGGCTCTGTCATGCTCTGATGGGTGTAGCCTGGACGGGGGGCTTCCTGCATTCCATCATCCAAATTCTCTTCACTTTCCAGCTCCCCTTTTGTGGCCCCAATGTCATTGACCATTTCATATGTGACCTGTACCCATTGCTGAAGCTTGCCTGCACCGACACGCACATCTTTGGCCTTTTGGTTGTTGCCAACAGTGGGTCCATCTGCATTATCATCTTCTCCCTCTTGATTGTCTCCTATGGTGTCATCTTGTTCTCTCTGAGGAAGCACAGTTCTGAAGGGCGGCAGAAAGCCCTGTCCACCTGTGGGTCGCATGTTGCTGTAGTGGTTTTGTTCTTTGTCCCCTGCATATTTACATACGCACGGCCCCCATCTGCCTTCTCCTTTGACAAAATGGTGGCCATATTCTACTGCACCCTCTCTCCCCTGCTCAATCCTTTGATTTATACTTTCAGGAATAAGGAAGTGAAAAATGCCATGAGGAAAATGTGGAAGAGATTGGTGTTGGTGTCTGATGAAAAATAAAATAATTAAACTTTACAAAACAAGCTAAAGAGCAAGGAAGTCATACTGGCCTTAGAAAAAAACCTTTATGGGATGATCGGTATCTGCAAGGTGGTAATGCATTGTTGTGGGGGGCATCAGAAAAATATTTTCATTTTTATATCGTCTACTGAGTTGGTAACTCAGTGTCCTCATATGTATATAAAGAGAATTGAATTTTATGCTTAATTAGTATGTAATAAACAAAAACTAAGATGAAAAATATTTTATTTCAGATTTTTGGACATTATCCCCCTGCTTTGAAAAAACTAGTAGAGGGAAGCTGAAATGTCTTAGACATCAGAGACAGAATCTTCATCTAGTTATTTTAAGTGAAAATAAACAGTGAGTGGTTAGTAGTGCCTCACTCACTCTGAAAAAGAGCAATCAGGATCTAGGCATGGCAGAGGGACAATTATTCCTAAAAGCTCAATGATAGATATTCCTGTGTCATACATCACCATCATTTAAGGTCAATTCCCTGCAGTTCCCTGCAGAATTTGAGTTATTTCTCAAATTTTATGAAAGATAAAACCTAGTTGGTCCAGTTCTTCCCATGAAGAGCTCCTGTTGCGTCATATGATCACCACAAACCAATCAGCCGCAGTAAGCTCCGTGGGGGACTCAGCAATGAGTTCTGCTTACTCAGGTATAAGCAATGAATTCCAATTACCACATTTTTAGCAAAAACAGGATCAACTTCAGATGTAGTAAATTGACTCATTTCAACTTTATTTTTCTCAAAACTGTGTATACAATTAATAATTCATTTGAAAAGTTATCAGTAAAGAGTTCATTCAAATTTAGAGATATCTTATAAACTATCCCATAGTTAGGGTTTATTCATCTCTGGTTGCCATGTGGTTTCCAGAATAAATTTATTTAGAGCAAAGTATTTCAATTTTCCATAGTAAATCAGTACCAATGAAATACTTATTAGCTATCAAGGAAAAACAAAGAAAGCTATTCTTCCTTCAATCTTTCATGGAAAGGACAAAGTAGAAGAATGCATTATATTAGTTTTCTTCCACAGACTAAATATGACAGATGTCGGTAAGATTTCCAGGATCTGCCTTAGGAAAGTCCATGAGGGATTAAAATGAGGACAAGAAGCACCTCTGGAAGAAGCACTGTGCCACTGCATTTAAAAGAAACCAAGTACAGTACTTGTACTGAGTCAAAGGAAATGAGAATCTCAGGAGCCTGCCCATCACAGGCTTTAGTGTGGAGAAGGATAAACTCCTGAGAAAGACTTTACTCTGAGAAGAGTCCTGGGGGCCCTGCTCACTCTGTGTCAGTGAGGTGAGTGTTTCACTGAGTTCAGTCATCCAGGCACTCCAAGGACTTGGTAGCCATGGTTCCAGTGGTCCCAGTGGTCCCAGTTATTGTTCACATTGACACAGGAACTTAGCACCATCCATGTGATACTCGCTCAGGCATGCCGAATTTAAGAGTTTGTAGTCAGGCAGGCTTCCCCTGAATTTCAAAGGGATGTCTTAGAGATCAGGCAACAGGTGGCAGGCTTAGAGTCCCCGCTGGGGGCCACCTAGACATAGATGCAGATCTTTGGGTGGGAGGCTGAAGGTGCAATAGAGACTCCAGGAGGCTGAAGACACCAGGGATGAAGAACATCTAAGAAAAGCCCCACACAGTGGGTGGATCCATTCCAAGAGAGAGATCATGAGGGCTGCAAACATTTAGGTCATCTGGGTGGGGCTTCTGGAACCCTCTGGAGCTCACATTCTGCCACTGTCTGCCCTGGATGCTAGACGTGCAGTTACAGGATTTAATGTTTGTAATTCTGGGTCTTGGTTTTTGCTTTATTCCTGTATTTCTCCCTTCTGGAATTCTAGGATGGGAACAAATACTCTCTGCCGTTCTATACTGAGGATATTGAAATGGTATTTTGGTTTCATAGGGAGGAGCTCACCACAGCTAAGAGTCTGGAGTCTCAGAAGTGGTTCTGGACCTGTCATTTTTTCCTATTCTTTGTAGAAGTGTGGATTGAACCTCAGGGTCTTGGCATTGAGCTTTCTCCCCTGCTCCAGGGTATTTTTGGTTTGTTATTTGGAACTGGGTGTTGTTAAGGCAGTGAGCTGACGTGCAGCTTGTGATCCTCCCACCTTGAACTCCCAGAGAGCAATGAGGTAGAGTGGTGAGTTTGGAGATGGGCTGTTGGAGAGGCACTAAATGCCCTTTACATAATGGGGTGGACATGAAACTTTTTGGGGGGCTGAAGGGTGAAATGTGAAGGTGGGAACCAAAATATTTTCTCACAAGGCTCACTGTGCTGAGGGCTCCCTTGCTGAAGGACTTTTGAAGTGTGATTGAATAATGAAGGCTCTCACTTCATGAGTGGATTAACCCTTCAGCAAGAACAGAATTTCATGGACTGATTGGGAGATAGCGGAAAATGAGAAGGCGGAGCCTTTGGAGGAAGTAGGTCACTGGGAACCCACCTTAGCAGGGTATGTCTCTGTCACTCTCTTCCCCTGCCCAGCTTCCCTCTTGTCATGAGGTGAAGAGGTCTTCTTGTCACACTTTCCGCCATGATGTTTCTGCCTTGCCAAAGGCTTAAACATAATGGAATCAGCAGACTATAGAATGAAACTCTGAGCAAAATTACTTCTCTCTTCCTTCAATTCATTTATGTTAGAATTTTGTCTCAGGGATGACAAGCTAACACTTGTGACAATGTGGGTAATGGTGTAACATAGAAATGGAGAGTACAAAAGAAGCACAGAAGCATCGCAGGGACATCTGGGGTACTGTGGACAACAATAAGAGAGGATTTTGAGCCATGAGAAGGACAGAGATGCCTGGACTGTAAGAGGAATCCTCCAGAGCTCTGATCAGACAGTAGATGCTTCTGTTCTGTTTATAAGTCTAAACCTGTAGCAGTAAATTGCAATGCATCCCATTGGGTCTGGAATTTATGCGTAACTTCAGTCACATAGCGTATTTATATAACCTGTATTTATAAACAAGGTATCCATAAAATATTTGGCTGGTGTTGCACACTCTCTGTGAGGCACCCTTTTTATTGTTTTGTGATTCCTTAATATACCCAGTACTTCTCCCACCAGACTAAACCTCTCTCAACAGAAATTAATAAGCCAATTCTAAAAATTTACATGGATGCTCACCTGTGTTTGAACAGCAGCTTTGCTAATCAAATCAGTGCCAAAATAGAAGTGGAGGACTGGCTCTATTAGATATCAGTGCATAGCTTAATGTTTCATGGGGTAATGATTTTGCTACAGCCTGAGAAATGAAGAATTACGTAGATGAAATTTCCCAGAAATTGAGCACATCTTATTTTTGAAAATTTGAATAAATTTTGTAATTTAACAAGTGATGATGACAGAATTTTACAGTGGTGGGAAAGTGTGGAATATTGAATAAATTCTGGAAGGGTTGATTTCTATCTCTTCACCTGTTAAGTGGTTCTTAGCTGTGGCTCTTTCTGTCTCTGTCTCTTTTCTGATTTGAGTTTGAAAAACAAAATCACCACAGTGGTATCTTAAATATATCAACTTTACCTGGCCTAGAGTGTTGCCTATTTCAGGCAATTATTCTATGTTAAAGCCCCGTGCAAAGGACTTCCTAGGCAGGGAGCCCCGAGAAATTCCTTACTTTGCACTACTCCATTAAAGGATCAATAAAATACTTAGAACACCCATTTTATTTGTATCAACTTCTGGTCTCATTTATAAACAATCAAAAAGAAAGAATGAAACCTCAACACAACATCCATGTTAAGTATAGAGGTAGGTGTTTTCCCATATACCCTTCTGTGAAATAAAGAGTTAGTTAATTTATTCAAAGGCCAAATTCAGCTCAGATTTTTAAGGAAATATTAAGAAGTAGTCATGATATTGGATAATTTCTTAAATTACATGTCTTCTCTTTGGTTTGTGGGTAATGTTATCCTGGGTAAGGGATGACATGGCACTATTTTATACAAATGAAAGGTATGATTAATATATTATACTCATTCATTCCTCATAGCTTGATTTTGGTTTCATAATGCTTTTAAGTAATTCAGACTGGGAAGCCACTAGTAAAAACCACTTTTCTCTTTTTTACTACATGTTGATACAAGCTTTCCTGCATAATTATACTAGGACAACTTTTAAGTATTAAATAATTTACCTCTCTATTTCAATTCTAATCTATCTCCAACTGTTACCTTCTGTGAATGTCAAATTTTGTACTCTCAGTTATAACAAAAATATAATAAATTGGCATAAATGCAACAACTAGATGATGACTATAACATTAAACACTGGTCTAAACATATTTTTTCAAATCATAATTGCAGGTTTATATGGCTCCTTCCTTACTTTGACATTTATTTGGGAATCATACAAAACCAGAGCTTTGTGATTGAATTTGTCCTCTTGGGACTTTCCCAGAATCCAAACATTCAGAAAGTGGCATTTGTTATATTTTTGTTTGTCTACATTGCAACCATTGGGGGCAGCATGCTAATTGTGGGGACCGTCATCTGCAGCCCCGCTCTGCTGGAATGCCCCATATACTTCTTCTTGGCCTTCCTGTCCTTCCTGAACACCTGATTCTCTTCTGTCATCACACCAAAGATGATTGCTGACTCCCTCTGTGGAAGGAAAACCATCTCCTTCGAAGGCTGCGTGGTGCAGCTCTTTGCTGCACACTTCCTTGCTGGGGTGGAGGTGATTGTGCTCACAGCCATGGCCTATGACCGCTATGTGGCCATCTGCAAGCCCCTGCACTACTCTTCCATCATGAACAGGAGGCTTTGTCGTGGTCTGATGGGTGTAGCCTGGACGGAGGGCTTCCTGCATTCCGTCACCCAAGTTCTTTGTACTTTCCAGCTCCCCTTTTGTGGCCCCAATGTCATTGACCACTTCATGTGTGACCTGTACCCATTACTGAAGCTTGCCTACACATCTTTGGTCTTTTGGTGATTACTAACAATGGGTCCATCTGCATTATAA